TGACGTTAAGTTACTCATAAGTCGTGGCGTCTAGCTTATCTTAAACCTATGAGTAAAGCCTGGTTTATGCTTAGAAACCAGGTCCTCTGCGTGTGACAATCTGGTGAACCTCCCCAAAAGTTTGGGTGACCATAGACAGTGCCACGGACAGGAGGCCTCTGATTGGTCAATTCTACATCCGCTCTACACTATGCGTATTTCCTGTTTGGTACCTAAAGGCAGAAACTCTGGCTGTAGTGCCGTCCATAACGCCTGGTACACCTCAGACACTATCCCAGACACCATGCAGGACGCTAGTTTGTAGCTCCGTGCGACGGTCTGTTGGTTTGCACCTGAAGCTAAAACACGAAGCGCCACGGCCAGTCTTTTGGGAACACTCACGGGTGAACTGTGTGTCGTCCGGCGTTGGATGAGGGGCTGTAGACGGCGAACAAACTCATCAAACTGACACACGGATGCCCACAATCCTAGCTAGTTCCTGTTGTCCCTGGATAGATCTTAAAATTGTCTCCCTGGAAAAAAAAAACAGCAGTAATCATGCTACAATGTAAAATACAAATATAAAAAGAAATAAAAACAGCTATAACTCCTCACAACTGATTTAAAAATACAGAATAAGTGTTCATAAACTTTAAATTTCAGCTTCAGGTTTTCTGTCACAGAATAAGAGCGAGTTTGAATGTCATTGCCGTCATTTTTTATGGCCTCCAAACGGTGAGCATTAATAAGACCTTTCTGGTTAATTCTTTGACAGTAAGAATAAAATAGCAAAGTAGTGAAAGGATTATTTGACTACAACCTTCAGGCTGATTTTTATACTTTAGAACACAGAATAAATAAAAAAGGATTCTTCTTTTCCCTCTCTTTGCAAAAATCCTCAACGATGACTCCCATCTTTTCAAAAAATGGTGATATCTTATTTCCTCCCAGTCACAGTGGCAGCTCCACTTCAGCGATGACGGCCGGGATGCCAGGATGGTCGACTCCTCCGACTCTCCGGAGCCTCTCTGACGACAGCCCCCTGCTCCGCTCCATGTCCCCTATTCAGCCCCTGAGCCAGACCAGTCCAAGCAAAGGAGACGAGGCGTCCCTGGCTGCTGTTTTCGTTCCGCTGGAGGCCATCAAACCAAGTGAGTTTATGAAAAGATCTTAATGACATCTGCTGGATTTGTTCTAGTACTTTCTTACCTTTTTATTACTCATGTTTTCATGAACAAAGAGAGGCTCCTTAATAAAGTGCTCTCAGCTAAACTTCCAAAAAAGTGAAAAAAAAACAATCGACTTCCCATCCAGGAAACATTCTCAATTCAAATTTCTGGATTCGCAGTGAGTTTGAGTCTTTATATAAACAAGACCCTGTATCTCTTGGAAACATGTAAATTGAAACCGATGAATGGGTTG